CGTAAAAAAGTTTTTATAGGGCGTTGCGGAAAGCTCTCAACCTCAACTATACGAATATTTTACTGAGAAAGTGCGATATTTATGGCTCAAAAATTGACCTTATTGATCCTCCTCCTTTTAAGGAAGATCAGTAAACGCTGATATTTACAAATAGTTTCTGTTAGAAAAATACATATCAATATGTAAAAAAATTATTCAAACAAATATTTTTCTAGACGTAAAAACAAACGTTTATTAAACGTTACAAAAACATTTTCCTAAATGTATGTATTTTTTTTCTAAATGTTCAAACAAACATTTATCAAATATTAACACATTTTTCCAAATGTTAACAATTAATTTTTAATGAAAGAAAGAGAACTTATCCCATTATTTTTAACATTTTTAAAAATGTTTTTTTCAAATGTTTTTTAAATATTAAAAAAAATTTTTTTTAATCTTATTTTACTGGTTGGGTCACTATAAGATCTTTAGGATAATCATCGTTTGGCTGTTTGCGATGCAGACTTAATTTTCCTTATTATATAAACCATTGGAAAGCAACATGAAATATAAAATATTTCTTGTAATATATTTTTAACAAACTTTTAGAAAACATATCACTTAATTATATCTGCGTTTTTAATCATGACAAAAATTATAAAAATACGTTTAAATCCAGCTTTCAAGACTAGAAAATCCCTTTAAACATTTTATTTCAATCTTAACTTATTTTGATTAAAATACATGTAACAATTATATTAATAAATATAACACAATTTTTCATTCTATAAAAATATAAATTTATAGAAATAAATGTTTGGATACTGTAAGCAAACTTTTAAAATACAAAAAGTTTTTTTTTATTTTAAATTGTTTTATTCTTATTTCGGGATTAAAATTACTAAAGTGTCCAGGGATAAGTAGATGTCCAGGTATTGGTACACAAAACTAATTTAAACAAATCTAATTTGAAAGTTTGGAAAGCTTACAGAAAACATTTCTTGTAACGTCCAGTATTCAATACCGCCAATGTTTTATTTCAAGGCCGTCTACATCGTCCGTGTGCAAAACGCGTGGGTAATCGACCTTCTACATATTGTCTTGAAATAATTTATGTATACAAGAGATTATCAATCGTATAAAAATATGTGTATATATGTGCGTGTGCATGCGTGCGTGCGTATGTATGTGTGAACTTAAACGAAATTCGTCTAAGTTTTAACGTGAAATTTTTGTGAAGAGTTTCTGACGACAGTTTTGCATTTAAAGAGTATTTAAAGAGTATTTAAAGGGTATAGTATTTAAAGAGTATAGTATTAAAGAGTATAGTATTTAATAGTATTTAAAGAGTATAATATTTAAAGAGTATAGCATTTAAAGAGTACTAAAAAAATTCGAAGGTAATCCGACCATTAATTAAGAAGTTATTTGACATTAAATGTTTGTTACCTTTGTTAGTTGTATAACTTTCAATGACGATGTTGTTTTTAATTTTAGGGATTGTATTTTTACTTATTAAAAATTCCAGAATTTATCGAAAGGAATTAGATGAGCTATTCAGAATTATTTAAGCTTGATACTCATTATAGCCCATAGTTAACCTTCTAAATTTCAGCATATTATCTAGGTAACATATGGAATCTTATAGTATCATAAAAAGAACAATTTCTCAATAAAAAAGTTTTAAAAAATATTTGTTTATAATAAAATTGTTTAAACAATTAAGTTGCAAAATGATTTTTCATAAAATCTGACAGCGCCACTCAATTCTATTACTAATACAGAAAAAATTACTAATACAGAAAAAATTACTACGATAACATGTATGATATATATGCCAATTAACCTCTGTTATAAAAATTTAAATATTATTTTTATATTGTTACATCTCTCACACAACCCATAACAGAAATATTACCTAGATAATATATAGAATCTTATAGTATGATAAAAAGAACAATTCCTCAATAAAAATATTGAGAAAATTAACTTTTTATAACAAAATTACTTGATCGTGAAAGGTAACTCACGTGAAAAGGGCACCTCGTTTATTTTCAATCAATTATTTTTTCAGATCTTGAGAAGCAAAGGGACTTGCGTGAAAAAAGTTTGTTTATTTTCAAACAATTGTTTTTCCAGGTTATGAGAAGTAAGGGGATTCACGTAAAAAAGTATCTCGTTTCTTGTCAGTCCTTTAAATCAGATTGCATACATTTAATACATGTTTTCGTAGTAATTTTTTACGTAAAATCAAATGGCGCTGTCAGATTTCACGAAAAATTATTTTACAACTTAATTTTTTAAACAATCTTGTTAGAAAAAATTAATTTTTTCAACTGTTTAATTAAGGAATTGTTCGTTTCCCAAACAGCACACAATATTTATGATAAAGATTCATAAATATTTATGTCGGATTATTTTTTAAAAATATTATATAAATATTTTGTAAATATTTATATACATAAAGAAAAAAGTATTAAAACGTTTATTCAAAATATTATTAAAATACAGGCTAAATATTTTATATTGGGTGTACAACTTAATTCGGTCCGTTTTTTTGCTTGAAAAACACATTTATTTGAATGATAAAATGAATTAATACATTATTTAAAGTATTGTCCATCGCTAGCCACTACTTTTTCCCATCTTTCTGGCAATTTATGGATTCCGTCGCGGAAGAAGCGTTCATCTTTTGAAGCCAAGAATGAATCGAGTCAATTTTTGATACCCTGTACTGAAGTGAAGTGTATTCCAGTCAAAGCGTTCTGCATCGATCGAAACAAATGGTAGTCGGAAGGGGCAAGGTCTGGGCTATAAGG